CACTGGCTCTCAGACTTACATGGTACCCAAGCTTATGGTGAGAAACATATATATATACTGGTTGGTTACTCTAACTACCTTTCTGTGATACACTATTAATAATTTCTTCCTAGCATCACAATTTCTGTATGTTTTACACCAAAGGTATCACAATGAACAAGTTCATTCTCTTAAACCAATACAGCAACAACTAACTAAAGCAACAGAACAAGAACTCAATGTTTGTACTGTTGGCATAAAATCTTGCAAACACACACTAGTATACTCTGTAGCTTATCTACACAACCTTAGCCAAGTTATGTGCCCTGTAGTTAAAAGCTTCTTAGACTTGATACTTAATAACATTTAGCATCAAGGGTTACTATCCCCAGTTGATTTACTTGTGCAACAAATAAAAGATCTGCTGAAACCCTAGCAAGAGAGCATACATATATAATTATGTCCATTGCTTCAAATTATACCACCCAAAAGCAAAATCATTTAGCTTACTTGATAATGAACTCTGGTCAACTGAATTAGTATCACTGCACTACGAAATAACTTCTTTCAAAGTCCTAAGGAAAAATGGGGGGGGGGGGGGAATCAATATACAACTCTGTCACTCAGTTTTAGTTATTGTATTGTTTTAATTTCTATACTAACTTCCTAACACTAGCTGCTCAAGTCAACTCACAATAAAACCAAGTTAACTGATGACTGATAAACCACTGGTTTTTGAAAATACTGACAACTGAACTTTTTAGAAAGGTAAAACTGACAAATGGAAAGAAGTGGGTTTAAGGCTCAGCCTACCACTGTTAACATACTCAATGCCCCAAACAGAGCTCAATTCACTGGTTTTAGTGGAAGACATTTAAGTCAATGCTCACTTCTCCTATTGAAACCAATGGGATTTAAAGACATTTCGTTTCACTGGAACATACCCAAAGTTCCAGCCAAACACCTCAAGACACTTTCCCAAGTCCATCCTGAATCTGTTTCAGGTTCTATTGTCTTAGTGTCAAACTAAGCCTTGTAATTTGTCACCTTGCTAATTAAAACCCTCTACATTATTATTTTAAATTTACTTCTCGATTGTGAAGTACTAAGCAGGAATTAGTGCAAACGGAACTGTTCATTATCCTGTCAATGAACACACTAGTCACATGATTTTTACAAAACACCTTTGTGTGTTGCTTGCAGCATGTGTGAAGAGGGTAGTTCAAAGAAGAAAATTATCCATTGGGATTCTCTCAAGCTGTGTTAGAACAAAGCTAGCATGCCTATTTTACCATGCTGATCCATGTTTTTGTAGTTTCTAACCTAGTCTAATGCAGTACACTTTAAATGGGGCTGCCTCAAAGAGGACTTGGAAGCTTCATCTGATGCAAAAGTGGTTGTTTGCTTTTTAACAGGTGTTGCAAGGCACACCCACAAACAACTTGTGCTGTGCAAAAGCTGCCTTTGTGCTTCTGGTGCAATTCAAGGTGCTCATTTTAAGATTTAATGTCACACCATGGGACACACATAGCTAAGGGACCAGCCCTGCTCTGTATGCATTCTATGCCAAATAAATTTAGTGTTAGCAAGGGGAGGAGAGGGCCTTTTCTGCTGAAGCCCCATTGTTCTGGAATGCTTTGTCCATTCAGGGAAAGAAATGATCTTCTTCAGTGGTCGGTTGATTGTTTTTGGCATGTTCAGTGATTATTTTATTTGTTGTTCCAATTCACTGGCTAGAATTTCTAACTTAAATGTACTTTTATTTTTGTAACCTGCATTGAGCTATTTGGAAATGCAATGTTGTATCTAACTAAAGCAATGTGCACAAAGTCACAGCCAGAAGCACTAGCCAACAACGCATTTTAGCATGCATCAAAACAGCTTTTAAATGGAAAATTAAGTTCATACGCCATAAATGCAGTTCATATGAATACAGAGGTCTGTTCTTAACCTGAAACTGTTCTTAACCTGAAGCACCACTTTAGCTAATGCGGCTTCCCGCTGCCGCCGCACCGCCGGAGCACGATTTCTGTTCCCATCCTGAAGCAAAGTTCTTAACCCAAGGTACTATTTCTGGGTTAGCAGAGTCTGTAACCTGAAGCATATGTAACCTGAAGCGTATCTAACCCAAGTTACCACTGTATATATTTTGAATCTATATGAAGATGAGCTTTAGAAGGCAACAGGTTTTGGAGGTCATTAATATTTATTTACCTACAAAAAGAGACAGTAAGTAAAATGTACCTTTCTTACACAGGAAGATACAAGTTTTGGAAAGAGATGAAGTTGTATTCTAGTTCATCTCAGAAAGAGTGCTACTGCTCTGTGCCAGTTATGTTTGATTTGACATCAAAAGACCAGTAAGTATATGGAAAATGGCTTCTGCAGAAGAATTTCCTACCTAGGAAGTCACCAAAATTCAAAAATATTAGTAACTGCTATCAACTGACAACAATGTTGAACCATCTTTCACTCTCATTTTGCATCAGAGGAGAATAACACTGAACAGCTTCTTGTTTCTTTCTGCACAAATATACAAAACATTTCTTTAGTATGAATAAGTTTTAAGTTTAAGAGCATATTACGGGCTCTAAGTAGTCAATGAAATTCCAGATTTAAAAACCTATTTGGGGGATACAGTTTGACAGATGCAGTATATCTTGGAAAGTTAACAATATTTTCAGTCACATTATATCATGCACAAAGTTACTGAACTCTGGTTTCCCGTGGCTTACATGTTGACTCAGAAGTAAGTACCACTGTGTTTAATGGGGCTTGCAGCCAGATAAGCATGCTCAATGATTCCTGTGTGAGATTCTTATGGCCCACTACACCTAAAAAAAATACACCCAGTAGAGACAGCAGCAATTCCTTCCACACACCAAATTCTTTATTCTTTGCCAGTCCCAATATGGAACTTCTTCAGAGATTCCCTCACCACATACATGAGCCTATGGCCAAAGTTTTATGCATACTTTGAAAATTCCGCTAGGATTTGCTCCCAAACATATGTAGTCAAGCACACCATTAAAGCACTGATTTTTCTTTTCAACTACCTACATGTTCACAAAGCCTCCAAGATGCCTACTGATATTACAGCCTAACCAATTTTATGATATTAAGCTAAATGACATTAGTCTAAGGGGACAGAAGAGGAAGTTTAACATGGACAAAGAACACATTGTTAAATTATGCTACCAAGAATGTGCAGTAATTGCTAGCCAATGAGGGTACCTATAATCTTGTGATGATCATTACTTCATTAGCACTGCGGTATCAACTTTTTAGTATTGTGACAAGTAGTTCTATGAAGTTTGGATTTTCTAGTACTTGTAAATAGATTAACATCTAACCCAATAAAATGCAGCCTCATCAATAAAGCCATTTCTTCAGGATGAAGAATTACAATGAAATCAAGTCTTTAGAGTCTTGTCATTTTTCATCCTAAAAGGTTTTAGTTATTCTTTGGTTTCTTCTCTCTGTAATTTATTCTGTAAATAGTACACATATGAATTATCTGAACCGATTGCAACCTGTCAACAGAAGAATGGCAGGTTTTATTCAGGAGACACAACTGATTATGCACCTTGCACAATAAAAAAGCAAGATATGCACAGCATGTAAGCCATCCTCAGCTCTCTTGAAGCAACACAACAGAGAAGCTTTCTTCATATTCATTTCATCATCATAAATTTTTAATACATACTAAACTGAAATCTGTATTTCAGAGATTAGTAAAAGACTCCACACACTTAACCAGCCAATATACTGCAAAGAGAATTTCTACCTGATTCGACAGGAGATACTAATTACCATATCTCTATGATGCTACCAAGCCAACTGGAGTTGAAAACCAAAATCAAACTGTCAAAGTGATTATACTTGCTTTTCTGATATTCACTGATCCTAACGTTGTTATTGCTTTTGGCCTGCTAATAGAACCTTAACGTATTCAAGCAAACCCACATTATCTCTGGATTGCCACAGTCTTTCCTTATTTGGCTAACATTATGAGATTCCAATCAGACTCCTATAAAACTTTAACATGCACAAAGCATCCATTTTGAGAAAGCCTCACAAGTGGTATTCCTTCCATTTTCACTAAAACGTTAAGTTTCAAGGAGTTGGCCAAACAAAAACAAGGTAAAATCGCTATAACTATTTTACAACGACGGGGGGGGGGGGCAAAAACGCGCATACCAAACCCGAATTCGAGTTTGCGTTTCACACCGCAGAACAAGTACCGTTCACGACCTGTAACACAAGTTTTGTTTTGTTTTTAGAGAGAGAGCATGCGAACTATTTAGGATTATTCGGGAGGAGAGCGAGCTTGAGCAGTGAGTCTAATATTTTGGAAGGGAGTCGACAGCGTTCACACCGGGGGCAGGAAACGGCAGCCGTTCAAACTGCGGGACAGGCAGCCACTTCCATCACTGCCAGAGGTTGCCCCCTTTTCTCGAAGGTAAGGAAGGGACCTTATTCTCTCAATTCCTGGCCATATACTGGGGACGAATGGGGGAGCCCTCGAGCCTCCCTCCCGGTAGTCGGCGTCCCCTTCCCCCCTCGGAGGAGTCTCCCCACCCCACGCCTCACCTCAAGCCCTGCCAAGTGCAAGAGAGGAAGGAAGAGGAGCCTCGCAATTGTCACTGCCTGCCGGGGGCGGGCGAGGGGAGGCAGGCAGGCAAAAAAGCAAGGCCCGGCTCCCCGGCCTAACCCGCCCAAGCAAGCAGGGAAGCACCCTCCTCCTCCTCCTCCTCAGCAAAACACAACATTCCTACGGCACAAACAAGGATGCGCGCAGCCGGCCTGGCTCCTCTCTAACGGCCGGGAGGCGGGAGAGAGAGGGGGGGTCCTTCCCAACGTCTTCCTCGTTGCGCTCTGAGGGAAGACGGATGTCTGTTGGCATTTCCCACCCCTCACACAAGCACCTCAGGCGGCTGCCTCCTCTACCCAACTCCCCGGGCAGCGGAGGGCTCCTTCCCAGCTAGGCCCCAGCAGCCCCCGGGGGCCAGAACACAGACCTGGTGCAGCGCGGTGAGCCCGTCCACATTGGCGTAGTTGATGTCGGCGCCTCGCTCCAGCAGCCGGAGCACCTCGTCGGTGTCTCCGCTCGAGCAGGCGGCCAGGAAGACGGCGCCGTCGTCGAACTTCACCTTGGTCTTCTTGCGCTTCACCACCGGCGGCTCCTGGTCGGTCTCGGAGCCGATCCAGCGCTTCAGCTGCTCGTTCCGCTTCTGCTTGGCGTCCGCCATCTTCATGCCCTGCTAGGCTCTGGTTCCCTTCTTCTCCCGCTCCCTATCGCCTAGCTAGCTATCACTCGCCCGCCCGCCCTGCCTTGCCTCGCCTGCCTCCCTCAGCGGCGGCGCTCCGCACCCAGGAGGAGGGGGGGGAGGCGGGGAAGCCCAAGCGCCGCCTGGTTCCCACACAGCACCGCGCGGCCGAACGCTCCCTCGCAAGCTTTGCGCGCGCGCGCGTTCCCTCGGCCCCGCCCACAAGCGCCCCAAAGCGCCGCCCGAGAGGATCCCCCGCGCGCCTGCTCTTGCCTTGCCTTGCCTGCCTAACTAGTTAAGCGCTGGGCGGGGCGGGGGCGGAAAGAGAGGAGGAGAGGAGCGCCCGGCTTCTTCCGCGTAACATCTCGCGAGAGCCCCCGACGAGAAGCGGGCGGCGAATGAAGTTGGCTCTTGAGGGAGATCCGGGCGGTGATTGGAGGGAAGAGGCCGGCGCTGATACGAGCGTGCCGCGGGAAGCGGGCGGAGGCGCTGCAGTAAGGGCAGCAACTGCGGCGAGGGTGTGAGAGCAAGGCTTACGCGAGAGCAAGTCCCCGTTGAAGTGGATGGGCTTTAGTTGCTTCCCGAGCGAAGGCTGCATGGCGAGCCTGTGCGGCGAGCCTTGCGGGGGAAGCGAGTTCCATTGACTTCAGCAGGGTTTTATCCCTGAAGGAAACGCGTGCGCTTTAAATTGCTGCAAAGTCCCTGGAGTGAGCAGTTGCAGAGGCAGGAAGTGCCGGCTCGTGGGCGATGTTGGAAGCGGAGCCGCTACTACGAGCCTGCCTCTGCCGGGCTGTCTCGGCAAGCGCTGCTTTTGCATCCGCTCTTGTATTATACATGTGGGACAAATTTCGGAGGAGCAGCAGCGGTCCTCAGCAAAGAATAAAAAACAACAACAAAAAACGGGGTGGGGGTAATAAATCTGTTAATTACACAGTATATCGGTCTTTAAGGTGCTCCCAAAATGGATGGGTTGGTTTTGTGTTTTTAATCGAGCTTTCGAACAGCGTACATGATGAACACAGTAGTCAACAATTCACAAAGAGGTTGCTTCCAGTTTTGAGACACACAAAAAATGTAAACAAGCCCTGTGTGCAGAAGGTTGGGCTGCAGTCTTCCCTGCAGTTAAACCTGGGCGTGCCCTGCCCTGACCACAACATACATAGTCATAGCTAAGATTAATGCTCTTGAGGTATGCAGACTGACACTGTGGATGTCATTTAGAAGTCTCACTGTGTTTAATGAAGCTTATTCCCTTGTAAATGAGGCTTACTCTGGTATCACTCCAACTTTAAAGCATGAGATTATATACCTTCTTTCAAAAGGTACCAATGTTCAAAACTGCCTGCAGACAGCAAGAAAGGTGTGTTTATGCAGGGATCTCATAGTGCTGAATGGGGTTTTACCATAAGGCTACTAGTCCTTTCAGCACTTATGTGAGATTACGGCTTCAACTATTAACTATTCCATGGGATTAACTTAATACATTAATAACTTCTCGATAAAGATTCTCTTTATTTATTTGTAGTCGTTTTATGTTGTTGTTTAGTCATTTAGTTGTGTCTGACTCTTCGTGACCCCATGAACCAGAGCACGCCAGGCACTCCTGTCTTCCACTGCCTCCCACAGTTTTATACCCCAAGCCAAAAAACATACTACCAGAGCTGCTTACAGAGACTTGGTGAAAAGGCAGTCAATTTTGTTCTGCCTTTTGATTACTCTGATTAATCAGACAGATTTCCATTATGTTTAATTGTATGCAAATTTATACTGATTTAATCAACCAACTGAAACTTACATGACTAAGCAACTAAGATATGGTAACTGAGTGACACCTAAAACTCATTTGAATATCAAGTTGTTGTTATTTTGTAAGAACGGGGTTGATCCTTAGCAGATGCCAGATTGGTGGTTTAGTGACAGAATGACTGTTTGCTACATCAGGGCCAGATGCAGTGCTTGGCCAATACAGAACATCCTGTTTATGAAAGCAGGTGTGCTGCAGTGGTTAAAGGCTGGGTTGTGGAAACACAGGTTTGAGCCCTGTTGGAAGTCTCGGCGCAATTCAGCTTGCACTGCAGGCTTATGTACCTGCATGAGAAAGGATAGAGAGGAGCTTCCAAGTATCCTAGACCTAGACTATACTTGTGCTCACCTATTGATCTTGCTTCAGGTTAGACTGATACTCTTCTGTTGCTGATCTGACCTCATTTCCTCCTCCATGTCGTCCTTATGAAAGCAGGCATACTTGGAACGCTGTTCTGCTGAGATTAAAGAATAAGCATGGCTCTTCCCATCTCCACCTTAGAACTAGGGATCTTACATAACAAACATGTATTTCCTGTAAAAACCACCACCACCACCATCATAGCTTTCTTATTTTCCAAACCCAGAGTTTCAGTGTGATTATATCTAGGGTAAGGTGTCCAGCAGAGGTTTTGTATTAAAATTACAGTGGTGCCTCGCAAGACAAAATTAATCCATTCCGCGAGTTTCTTCGTCTTGCGGTTTTTTTGTCTTGCGATGCACGGCTATTAGCGGCTTAGCGGCTATTAACGGCTTAGCGGCTTTAAGAAAAAGGAAACAAACTCACAAGAACTCGCAAGACGTTTCGTCTTGTGAAGCAAGCCCATAGGGAAATTCGTCTTGCGGAACGACTCAAAAAACGGAAAACCCTTTCGTCTAGCGAGTTTTTCGTCTTGCGAGGCATTCGTCTTGTGGGGCACCACTGTAATTTCTGCTGAATGTTTCAATTCCAAATGCCATCAAGCTCCTGCTCACTAATGAAGTTCAATTTGCCCTTAAGCAAGGCATTATCTCTTAATCAAACCTCGTAGAGTGGTTCCGCCCTTCTTGGATGGTCATTTCCAGAAAGTGATGCTTGGACAGTTCTCTTTGGCCCCATGGAGACTTCAAGGTGGAGTTCCTCAGGGTTCAATTTTATCACCCATGCTGTTTAACATCTACATGAAAATGCTAAGTGGGGTCATCCAGGGCTTTGGAGTACAATCATACCTCATGTTGCATTTGCTTCAGGATGAGCATTTTCAGGATGCGTCCTGCGGCGACCCGGAAGTACCAGAAAGGGTTGATTCCAGGTTTTGCCGCTTGTGCATGCGCAGACGCTCAAAATGACATCATGCACAGTCATGGCGAATCGCCGTTTGCGTTCTGCTCAGGTTGCGAATGGGGCTCCGGAATGAATCCCGTTCGCAACCAGAGGAACCACTGTATGTTGTCAGCAATATGCTCATGGCACACACCTCTATTTCTCCTTTTCATCTGCAGTTGTGGCAGTGAATGTGCTGGACTTGCCTCAGCAATGGACTGGATGAGAACCAATAAACTGAAGCTCAGTTCAGATAAGACTGAGGCAATGTTAGTGGGTGGTTCACTAGACCGGATGGATGGGAGGTTGCCTGCTCTTGCAGGAGCAGGTACATAGCTTATGAGTATTCCTGGATCCATTGCTGTTGCTTGAGTCTCAGTTAACCTTGGTGCCACAGAGTGCCTTCCATCCATCACCTTTGGCTGGTGGCCCAGCTGTGCCCCTATTTGGACAGGGGTAGCCTAATTTCTATCGTATAGTTTCTGGGTCCAATTCAAAGTGCTGATTTTGACCAATAAAGCCTTAAGTGGCTTAGGACTGTAATACCGTAAGGACCACCTCCCCATATGAACTGAGCCAGGCCCTGGAATCATCATCTGAGGCCCTTTTTTGTGTGCCTCCATGAGAAGTCAGGAAGGTGGCAACATGAGAACAAGTGTTTTCTGTAGTGACTCCCCGTTTGTGGAATGCTCTCCCCAGGGAGGCTCACTTGGCACCTTTGTTACAGATCTTTAGGTGCCAGGCAAAGCATTCCTCTTCTCCCAGACCTTTGGCTAATTAAACAATTATTTTTAAAGTGGAGGTTTTAAACAAACTTTTGTTTGTTACTATGCTGTGCAGTTTTGTGTTTTTATGTTGTAAACTGCTGTGTGATCCTCAAATAAAAGGTAGTATAGAAATAGAATAGAATAGCATAATATATGGTAATAATATAATATTATTAATTATAAGGTACTATAATAATCTTATGTAGCCATTCTGAGCACCTAATAAAAATAGAGATTGGATGATACCAATACAACATAACATAAACATATGTTGTGCACTTTGGTTTGGTCTAGCAAAATGCCAACAACACCAGCAGCTTTTCTCACTAATTATGGGATTACGTAACATCGTTCTGGATGTTCCTCTCATCCTCAGAATAAATTGAATCAGGCAAAAGCCAAGCCTTCACTTAGTCATTCCCCTTCCTCCTTGCCTATATACAGCAAGCCTGCAGAGGTCAGATCAGTCAGATTGGAGAAAATGCTTGTTCAGTGGTCAAATCCCAATTATAAAACTCCCTCCCGAGGCAGCTCTGCCTGCTTTTAATGAATTGATCAATAAGTAAATCAATCATAAAAAATATTCACAGAATAGGGATTTGTGCTCTCTGTTTTTTAAATGTGCGGGAACAGGTAGGTGTCTGTTTATTTGTGAAGACAAATGAAAACTAGACCTTGGACTCAGTAGATATTTTCTGAATAATTGACTTTGTTGAAGGCTAATTAACCCTGGGCTCTTTTACCACAGAAGTGCGCTGGTGAAGCTTGTGCAATCATCCAAAATCATCGAATCCAAACTCTGTTAGGCTATGGAAACATTAGTTAAGCTCCTCCTTCATTTGCTTCCTGAGCAGCACTAAGCACATTATTAGTGCTTAACAAATAATAGAATCTGCAAACCAGGATATAAATTTTCTTCAAAAACGTTCGCAAAAAAATACAAACACAGAGTGAGAGTATGTAAAGCAACTGCACTACCGCTGTTCAGGAGAGTGGGAACATTTTTTTTTTAAAAAAAGAAAGAAATGCAGCTCACTGCTGTAATAGTGTTCTACATAACGTGTTATCCTCATATTAATTATGTATTAATTTTCTGTCCCAAGATAAATTGTACTTTAAAAGAGGATTAGGATTATGCAGTCTTATTCATCAAGGGAGGGACGCGGGTGGCGCTGTGGGTAAAACCTCAGTGCCTAGGACTTGCCGATCGGTTGGCGGTTCGAATCCCCGCGGCGGGGTGAGCTCCCGTCTTTCGGTCCCAGCTCCTGCCCACCTAGCAGTTCGAAAGCACACTTAAGTGCAAGTAGATAAATAGGGACCGCTTTATAGCGGGAAGGTAAA